TGTGCTAATGATCCATTGTTAGGCTGATGGTTGTTTACTGTTCACAGAGGGCTGAGTGATACTAGCAATCACAGCATTGTAAGAGGGGGACAGTTGAACCCGGAGGCCTCCACCCCTGTTTAATGATGGACGATTTCTTTTCACAAAGATGGCCTCCTTTACTCCTCTCTCAAACCATCGTTCCTCTCTGTCCAGGATGTGAACATCTTCATCCCTGAAAGAGTGACCGCTGGCCTGGAGATGAGTGTAGACCGCAGAGTCCTGGCCTGATGATGTTGATCTTCTGTGCTGGTCCATCCTTTTGGCCAGAGGCTGTTTAGTTTCCCCGATGTAAGACTGATCACCCTCCTGACACTGAACAGCATACACAACATTACTCTGTTTGTGCCGGGGGACTGGATCTTTGGGATGAACCAGTCTTTAATGTATTTTGGGGTTTAAAAGCCACTGGGACGTTATGTTTAGAAAATAAACCTCTCAGTTTCTCTGATACTCCCTCAACATATGGAATGACCACTGGTCTGGGTCTGGGTTCCTCCTTTTCACCTGATGGCTGACTGGAGTCCTGTTTGGGTTTCTTCTCTGCTTTCAGGAAGGCCCAGTTAGGATATCCACATTGCTCTAGAGCCTGTTTTGTGTAGGATTTCTCCTTCTGCCTGGCTCCTGAGCTAGTGGGGACGCTGTCTGCTCTGTGGTACAGAGTCCTGATGACTCCTAACTTGTGCTCCAAAGGGTGATGGGAGTCAAACTGCAAATACTGGTCTGTGTGGGTGGGTTTGCGGTACACCTCAGTTTGCAAATGTCCTCTATCCGAGACTGAGACCTCACAGTCCAAGAAAGCCAACTTGCCATTTTTTACATCTTCTCGTGTGAACTTGATGTATTTATCCACAGAGTTGATGTGGTCAGTAAAATGTTGGACTTCCTGAGATTTGATTTTAACCCAGGTGTCGTCAACATACCTGAACCAAAGACTTGGTGGTGTCCCTGAAAAGGACGTCAAGGCTCTCTTTTCTACCTCCTCCATGTACAGGTTGGCAACAACAGGAGAAACTGGAGACCCCACAGCACACCCATGTTTCTGCCTATAATATTGCTCCCCATATGTGAAGTAGGTATGTTTTTTTTGAATGTCCAGAGGACCAGATTGAACTTTTTTGGATTTTTCTACCTGGATTATTGAGCATGCATCAGGATATAGAGTTCATGATGATGTATTTCTGCAGACAGCTGTGCACGTGATAAGGACAGTGAGCTTGCAGAGGCATCGTTCAGGCCTACCGGGGTGTTCTGTCACGTCCACCTTGGCTACGTTGACTCCCATGTCCTCCCCCCAGTCTGCAAACTCCTTCCACACCGGCTGCAGCTGCTGACATGCTGGACACCAGGGCGCGTAACTGCGGGACAGAAAGTGTCGAGGCTCAGACTCCAACATTCTTCACAGCCAGTAGCATTGAAGTTAGCAAACTGACAGACTAGCGTTCAATGCTCTGATGGTTAGACATTTACACAACTGGACTAAATGAGGGGAGACGATGTGGAACAAGACCCAGAGTCTTGTATCTAACGCGGGAATTCACGCTCGGTTTACGCCAATTCAAAATAAAAGCAGAACTCTCTAAATTAGCCGTTAGCGGCGCTCGACACTAACAATTCAATCATCCATTCTCCCGTCAGGATCGTCTCCCAGTTCCCGTCCGTCACTTCTCTCAGACTTTCCGGCTTGGCCCAAACTGGTGACGATGTCCCACAAATCACCAGGAAGAAAAAACAAGTCCAGGAGCGGAGCTCGGTTTGCCCTAGTGAAGAAAACATCTTTGAACTCGTCCTGCCAGCTAGCAAACACGCCATGTCCGTTGACAAGCAGTCACTTCCGCTGTGCGCCTGACGTCAGCGGAAGTGACGCAGGAGTCAGCTGAGTAGTTATCAGCTAGTAGCTAGTTATAGATAGATAGATAGATAGATAGATAGATAGATAGATAGATAGATAGATAGATAGATAGATAGATAGATAGATAGATAGATAGATAGATAGATAGATAGATAGATAGATAGATATTTTAATTTAAACAATAGATGTTTAAACCTTTATCTTTGTTTTTTTAGGAAAAAGTGTATTCAAGGGAAATAGATCACTCAATAGATCAATAGGAAATAGATCAATAAATTAAAATAAATAAAGAAATTAAATTAAAATAGATCATGGTGAATCATGGTGGATTTAAAAAAAAATCATTTTGTAAGAAAACATACTTTTTATTTGGAACCAGCAGGTGGCGTTATTGTACCTAAAACAACAAAGTCCATGCTCAATAATCCAGATATACGATCCAACATTTTTCAGTCAGGTCATCTGGACAGTTCTTTTTTTGTGCTGAAAGACTGTCAATAAGGAAGAGGGCCGGCAATGGAGGAGGGGGTACCAAAGAGACCATCTTATCACAAGCAGAACTGGTTTGTTCCACTTTGGAGTAAGCTGTTGGAGGAAGAATCAGTTTTGTTGTGCGTTTCCTTGACTGATGAAGCCTTCTGGATCGAAGGTGAAACGTTTCAGCACAAAAAAAAAATAAACTGTCCAGATGACCTGACTGAAAAATGTTGGATTGTATACCTGGATTATTGAGCATGGTCTTTGTTGTTAATTTGTTTAACATTACATACTTCAGTAAATATTTGTGAGCTCATGGTTGTATCCCCTGAACTACTAGACAAAACATGAAGTGCACAAAAACAAACGAACATCAAGTTTAAAAAGGGCAAAAGAGGCTGCATCTTCTTGGCAACAGATAAAAATTATAAATATTATTGATAACTATTAAAAAATGAGCTGAGCGCTAACAAATCTCACAAGAGCTCATATTTTTGCATGAGACCGTGCAGATCATCATTTACAAGTTTTGACCTAAAAGTCCACACCTCTTTCAGTTTTATCATAAGACTTGGTCTAAAGCTCTAGCACGAAAAGTGATGGGTGATATGCATTCATCTAAGGAATGGCAGGCCTTTAATTTAGACTGTGCGTCTGCGCTTTATTGTTTATGTTCCTTTCACGTGGAGGCCGGTCGGATTGTGCACATTCAGAGCAGTCATTACTGCTGCAGGCAGCCGGTTATCAGCGCACCTCACTCTCTAAAAATATCCCTGAAATGACATCCTTTTGTGCCCCTACCATCGGCCCCTTTCTCCAGCCATCAGCTCTGCTCCACTTACGGAACAAAACGAATCACTGCTCAGGATTCATGGGCTCCTCTCCACTGTGGCAGAAAGAACAAGAAGCACAGAGCAGGAAGTCGTAGTGTGGTTAGTTGTTCTCCAACTCCATTAATGTGCTCAGTTTCCTGCTGGTTGAAGGGGGAGACACCGTAAACCTCCATGAGCCTCTAAAACTGTTATTCTGTAAGAAAGAAACATTCCTTTGTTAGTCCCACACACGTGACAGTAAACACACACTCTGCAAGAATCTTCTAATTCTGCTTTTAATTTGCCTTTGATTAAACGCTTAGCTGATCAGAGGACGATGGTTTCCATGGTAACTTCTTCATTGTAGAAACTAGGAACATTTGTCTCAGGTTAAAAAAAGCAACAACACAGTACCAAATATATAAAAACTTCAACGTGCACAGGGTATACTGTAAACATGGTGTTTTTTGTGTGTAGTGTGCATACAGAGGACATCTGTAGGACATGGTCAGAGTGGATGAAGAGGACATCTGTCTCTAAGCATCATCTGTCAAAAGTTGGAGTACAAGGGAACTTCAAAATGACCTCAGTTTGGCATCAGGGCTGATTTACGCTCCATCAGAAACTATGGGGGGTCGTTTGTAAAGTTACAGTCAAAAATTAACAGCAATATTTTGCTTTATTTGGCCTTTCATAAGAAAAAAAGTTGTTTTTTCAAAGTCACATATTCACCATGTTATTCATACATTTGTAAATGTCATAGTTCCAAACTAAATATTTAATTTACAATCTAAATATTTAGCTTACAAACTAAATGTTTATGTCCAAGCTAAATGTTTAATTTACAAACTAATATTTAACTTGCAAGATAAATATTTAGCTAGCAAGCTAAATATTTAGCTAACAAGTTAAACATTTATGTCCGACCTAAATATTTAGTTGGCAAATTAAATATTTAGTTTAGGAATTAAATGTTTAGCTTAGAAATTAAATGTTTAGTTTGGACAATAAATATTTAGTTTGGAAATTAAATATTTCATTTACATCTAATCATTTAGTTCAATAACTAATTATTTAACTTGCTAGTTAAATATTTAGTTTGCAAATTAAACATTTATTTTGGATGTAAACATTTAGTTTGTAAACTAAATATTTAGTGTGGAGCTGAATATTTAGCTTGCTAACTAAATACTTAACTTGCAAGTTAAGTATTTAGTTTGTAAACTAAATATTTAGCTTGAATATTAAGTATTAATTAGTGAAGTATGACATTTATAAATGTATGAATAACATGCTGAAAATATGACTGGAAAAAAAAAACTTTTTTCTTATGAAAGTCTAAATAAACCAAAATATTGCTGCTAATTTTTGACAGTGTAACTTTACAAACGGCAGCCCATAAGAAACAACTATATTTGTTCTCGCTGTGAGTCGTTGTTTTTCACTTGGATATTTCATGAAGCAGCTGTGGTGAGAAGTCCTGGTGAGCTCTTCTACTTCAGCATCACAAACAAACAATCAAAGAAACACAGAGAACATTTGTCAGAGTGGATGTTTATTTTCAGGTGTTGATGGAGGATCTGGTATTTGTTGTTAACAGAGAAGTGCTTTTAGGTAAATTAAAGAGACCAGCATGGTTTCCGACAGATGTTGCACAATATCGATCGAATGTGTCTCTACACCGTCCGTGTGAGGTTTACTCCCTCCTGGACAGTCTAATCACCGAGAGCCGCACCTTTGACCGATCTCTCCACAAGCTTGTTGACTCGCTTCATAAGACTTGTTTGACCATCTTTCAAAGTTTTGCTGGAACTCTTATAAAGATTGTTTTTCCTAACGGCCTCGGCCAGCTGCTCCTCAGCGGAGCAGTTGAAAGGAAATGGGAGCAGCGCAGTTCAGACGTTTCTCCGCACAAACAGACCTGCAAAGTTCGAACCAATCACACAATACTTGGCACACAGCCCCTGCAAGTACAAAGCTCCTTCAAATACGTTCTGCCTGGTGCTTGTGCACAGAACAAGTTCTCAGAGACCACGTGAGAACACAAAGACACAATTAATGTCGTGCAACCTCACCAGCAAGAACAAATTCTGACTTTGAAGGACTCTAGGTTAGCCTTTAGCCTGAATGAAAGCTACTGATGAGGATTTGACTAAAGATTGCTTGAAAAATGACCGAACTGTTCCTTCAGCTGCTGGAGGAGCTCCTTGTCTCTCACAGCTGAAATGATTTTCCTTTACAATATTTCTGGGATCTTCTGTCTTCCAGCAGACTGCATGGACGTGAACCTCATCTGGGCGCACATTTAGTGTCGTGCCGCCTCTTTCTTCATCTCTCAGAGACCGTCCACGTGACAACGGCTGCTCCGTCCAGTAATTTCAAGGTTTCCAGTGTGATGAGTGGGAGTGAGGCAGCGGAGCCTCTGAAACTGACGGATCCACATTTTACAACCAACGACGCTGGATGTTGTTTGAATCTTCATCTCCAAAATTCAAATTCACACCAAACATTTTAATAAAAATGCTTGCAGTGAATATTTGGAACAAGAAAATGACGGTAAACGCTTGAAATGTGTTTTTCTGTACAGGAGCACCCTCCATGCTGTTGCCATGGCGCTGGCCTGCAGCCTTTCACACTTTCTGTGAAAACAGAGAAACATGCTTCTGTCAAAAGGCGTTTGCTGGACTGACATTCTGAAAGAAGGGGATTTTTCTTTATTCACTTATCCTCTTGAAAATCAGACTTTTTAAATGAAACTGGTTTAATTATTTAACTGTTCAGTCCTCGTCCAGCCATGGAAACAGAGTAAGATGCACATAAATCAAATAAAGACTCAATGTTTGTTACAATCATGCCAAAGTTTTGGACAAGGATCATCTTAAAACTAGAGAAAAGACATTTTCTGTGAGTGTGGATGCATTATTGCTGAACTTTGCTGAAAGCTGCTAAAGAAGCTGGAACCAGGTTTCATCGCTGAACGGTTGATGAGAGTTGAACTTGAACAGCGTTTGTGTTGTTTTGAGCTTTACTCGTCTCATCGTTAGAAAACCTTTTGCAAAATCATCTAACAAAACATATATTTTTTAGAAAAAGTCCTGTGATGGACAGAAGGCTTGTCCAGGGTGTACCTCGCCTCCTGTAGACAGACACCAGCTCCTCCCAACTGCAGGGTTCCAGTGTTTTCCTTTGGCAGCTCTTACAGCTCCAGGTATAAAAGGGTATAAAAAGCTGTGGAACTGTTCCTGTCCCTGCTGGAACATTAAATACCAGTCAGTATCTTCAGTATCATCAGTATCTTCAGTATCATCAGTATCATCAGTATCGTCAGTATCGTCAGTATCGTCAGTATCGTCAGTATCTTCAGTATCATCAGTATCTTCAGTATCGTCAGTATCGTCAGTATCTTCAGTATCGTCAGTATCTTCAGTATCGTCAGTATCGTCAGTATCTTCAGTATCGTCAGTATCTTCAGTATCGTCAGTATTGTCAGTATCGTCAGTATCGTCAGTATCGTCAGTATCTTCAGTATCGTCAGTATTGTCAGTATCGTCAGTATCGTCAACCTCCCAGCATCTGCTTGAATGAAAATTGATACTTTCCTGTTCCATGTCGTAGTCCCTGTTCCCCTGAGACCAAACCCTGGATTACCTGTTTCTCCTTTGCACCCCCAAAGATGAGCCCTACCCTGGAACTCCT